ATCCAGGAGCTGCTCTGACAGCCCCAGGACAAGCACAGATTAATCAGCAATCAGGGCCTTGCTTCCCAGGAGGCTGGGACACACTGCGGACCAGCAGCTCTGGCACGACCGACAGCCAGTTCCGTCCAGAGCCCCAAACAGCCGGCCGACGTGGTAATGGAGGACAGGCTGGGGAACGCTTCTGCATTTCCTGCACTTCCGAGAAGCCGACAGATCCACAGAGGGCGGCAGCAGCGGGGTCCTGACCCGCAGGCCCCGCCGTTCCTGCTGGCCAGCATCTCCCTCCGCACTGGTTCGGGGCCCACAGCTGGCCCTCAGCTCCATCCTGGGAATTCCCTCCTCCTCTTGGGATTCTGCTTGCTCTGAACCCTAACACCTGCGACAGTGTGTGTAATACGGGCTCCACACACCTCTGGTGAATCAACCATAACCCAGAGTGCGGTTTTAGTATTATAATTGGTATATTCCCTGTACACCCATCACCAAACCCTCTCCTGAGTAAAAGGTGTGACTGCGGGTGGGTGTGCCTCTCGGCTTGCCCACATTCCCTATCAGACTGCCCTGGGGCCAAGTCTAGTCCGGGATCCTCCCGCTAATCGCACGTGGCAGGCAGCGGACGACCACTCAGATACCTGGGACCCTGCCACCCAGGTGGACTTCCAGGCTCCTGCCTTGAGCCCAGCCCTGCCTTGACTGCTGCGGCCACTTCAGGAGTAAACTATCAGAAGGAAGATCTCTTTCTCTGTTTCCCTTTCTCACTGTCACTCTGCCCTTCACATAAGCAAACTGGATTTCATTTCAGCCCAGTGTTCTGCACAACTATTTCCCGAGGGCTCAAGATGGACCAAGCCCTGTTCCAGGGGGCCTACGTGCAGGATGTCGGTTAATCCTCTGCAGGATCCTCACTCAGCGCACAACACGCACATCCTGGTACCGCCCCGCCAACCACGCTCACAAGAAGAGCCTACAGCAGAGCACAGAGCAAGAAAGAAGTGTCCTTTCTTCTCACAGAACTGGAGATGAAAGCGACGTCAGCACTGTCCTGTTTTTAGCAGAATTTGTAGCAGCTTGATGAGCCTCAGGTAGCCTGCATTCAGGGTAAACCGAGGCCTCACTGCTGAGCCCCTTCCTAAACTTAGGAAGCGCACCTGCTCCACACCAGGCCACTGGGCTCAAGGTTCCGGCAGCGCCCTCCCTGCGACGCTTCTGCCCACACTGCAGATGGACACGCAGCTCACAGTCCGCATGAACTCGGCCTGAGAAAATGATAAATGCTGTTGGCAATGCCCATCTCTACGGCAAATTCCGCTGATCAATCACCAAGGTTACAGGAGACAGCTCCGTAAGCACAAGCAGATCAGTTTGCAGTTTCACAACAACAGTAACGACATGGGATGATGAGAGCCTAACCTTTCGTGTGGCTATTGCTTTGGGGCAAAGAGGGCACCTATTCAGAATGGGAAAAGCTAAGTTTTATGCAAAACTCTGCCTTGTCTGATGGAAATGTCTTCTCTTCGGCTGCTGAGGTACCTGGTATAGGTCTCGTGTGGACTACGGAGGGCTGCGATGCTGTGTCATCCCCCAATAATGTGGAGATAAGACGGCCTAAAGGTGAGAACAGTCGGACCCAATGCATAATGAATGAGACCAATCCTGGTCCACATGGCCCCAGGGGTCTACGATAAATCTGTGCCTGGGAAGGTCTGGGGATGTCAGGCTTTCTCTAGGGGTACACTGAGAAGACAGCACAGCATGCGTCTAACCAAGGCTCCGCGTTGTCAGCTGCGCCTTTCCATGAACGCCTGTAAGCCTGTGAATGGGGGGAGGCGCTGGCGCTGAGCCAGAGAAAAGCAGCATGAGCAAGGGCCAGGCAGAACCCTGGCTATGCTCCTCAGCAAGCGAGCTGCCTGCATGATGGCCACGCCAACCCTCAGGCCAGGGCCTGTGGTGCCCCTGTTGACTATTCTAGGTGCTTGCCCAGTGGAGGGTTACCCTAGGATGGCTGCTGTTTTATATCCTCTCCCAGTCCTTGGATTCTCCTGCCTGACAGACCACGTGCCATGGCACACACTGTGCCAACTGTGTGATACACAGTGGATCCTGGGTTACACTGCATGGTCCACTCCATCAGTACTACAGTGGGGTCCTGGGTTAGACTGCACAGTCCACTCCATCAGTACTACAGAGGGTCCTGGATTAGACTGCATGGTCCAATCCATCAGTAACACAGTGGGGCCCTGGGTTAGACTGCATGGTCCACTCCATCAGTACTACAGTGGGGTCCTGGGATAGACTGCATGGTCCACTCCATCAGTACTCACAGGGGATCCTGGGTTAGACTGCATGGTCCACTCCATCAGTACTACAGTGGGTCCTGGGTTAGACTACATGGTCCACTCCATCAGTACTCACAGTGGGTCCTGGGTTAGATTGCATGGTCCACTCCATCAGTACTGCAGTGGGGCCCTGGGTTAGACTGCATGGTCCACTCCATCAGTACTACAGTGGGTCCTGAGTTACACTGCATGGTCCACTCCATCAGTACTACAGTGGGTTCCTGGGTTAGACTGCATGGTCCACTCCATCAGTACTACAGTGGGGTCCTGGGTTAGACTGCACAGTCCACTCCATCAGTACTACAGGGGATCCTGGGTTACACTGCATGGTCCACTCCATCAGTACCACAGTGGGGCCCTGGGTTAGACTGCATGGTCCACTCCATCAGTACTACAGTGGGGTCCTGGGTTAGACTGCATGGTCCACTCCATCAGTACTCACAGGGGATCCTGGGTTAGACTGCATGGTCCACTCCATCAGTACTACAGTGGGTCCTGGGTTACACTGCATGGTCCACTCCATCAGTACTACAGTGGGGTCCTGGGTTAGACTGCATGGTCCACTCCATCAGTACTACAGAGAGTCCTGGATTAGACTGCATGGTCTACTCCATCAGTACTACAGTGGATCCAGGGTTAGACTGCATGGTCCACTCCATCAGTACTACAGTGGGGTCCTGGGTTAGATTGCATGGTCCACTCCATCAGTACCACAGTGGGTCCTGGGTTAGACTGCATGGTCCACTCCATCAGTACTACAGTGGGTTCCTGGGTTACACTGCATGGTCCACTCCATCAGTACTACAGGGGATCCTGGGTTACACTGCATGATCCACTCCATCAGTACTACAGTGGGTCCTGAGTTTCACTGCATGGTCCACTCCATCAGTACTACAGAGGGTCCTGGGTTAGATTGCATGGTCCACTCCATCAGTACTACAGTGGGTCCTGAGTTTCACTGCATGGTCCACTCCATCAGTACTACAGTGGGGTCCTGGTTTAGACTGCATGGTCCACTCCATCAGTACTACAGTGGGGTCCTGGGTTAGATTGCATGGTCCACTCCATAAGTACTACAGTGGGGTCCTGGGTTAGACTGCATGGTCTACTCCATCAGTACTACAGTGGGTCCTGGGTTAGACTGCATTGTCTACTCCATCAGTACTACAGTGGGGTCCTGGTTTAGACTGCATGGTCCACTCCATCAGTACTACAGTGGGTCCTGGGTTACACTGTATGGTCCACTCCATCAGTACTCACAGTGGGTCCTGGGTTAGATTGCATGGTCCACTCCATCAGTACTACAGTGGGTCCTGGGTTAGACTGCATGGTCCACTCCATCAGTACTCACAGTGGGTCCTGGGTTAGACTGCATGGTCCACTCCATCAGTACTACAGTGGGTCCTGGGTTAGACTGCATGGTCCACTCCATCAGTACTACAGTGGGTCCTGGGTTAGACTGCATGGTCCACTCCATCAGTACTACAGTGGGTCCTGGGTTAGACTGCATGGTCCACTCCATCAGTACTACAGTGGGGTCCTGGGTTAGACTGCATGGTCCACTCCATCAGTACTACAGTGGGGTCTGGGTTACACTGCATGGTCTACTCCATCAGAACTACAGAAGATCCTGGGTTACACTGCATGGTCCACACCATCAGTACTACAGTGGGGTCCTGGGTTAGACTGAATGGTCCACTCCATCAGTACTACAGTGGGTCCTGGGTTACACTGCATGGTCCACTCCATCAGTACCACAGTGGGTTCCTGGGTTACACTGCATGGTCCACTCCATCAGTACTACAGTGGGGTCCTGAGTTAGACTGCATGGTCCACTCCATCAGTACTACAGTGGGTTCCTGGGTTAGACTGCATGGTCCACTCCATCAGTACTACAGTGGGGTCCTGGGTTAGACTGCATGGTCCACTCCATCAGTACTACAGGGGATCCTGGGTTACACTGCATGATCCACTCCATCAGTACAACAGTGGGTCCTGAGTTTCACTGCATGGTCCACTCCATCAGTACTACAGTGGGTCCTGGGTTAGATTGCATGGTCCACTCCATCAGTACTACAGTGGGGTCCTGGGTTAGACTGCATGGTCCACTCCATCAGTACTACAGTGGGGTCCTGGGTTAGACTGCATGGTCCACTCCATCAGTACTACAGTGGGGTCCTGGGTTAGACTGCATGGTCCACTCCATCAGTACTACAGTGGGATCCTGGGTTAGATTGCATGGTCCACTCCATCGGTACTACAGTGGGGTCCTGGGTTAGAATGCATGGTCCACTCCATCAGTACTACAGTGGGTCCTGGGTTAGACTGCATGGTCTACTCCATCAGTACTACAGTGGGGTCCTGGGTTAGACTGCATGGTCCACTCCATCAGTAATACAGTGGGTCCTGGGTTACACTGTATGGTCCACTCCATCAGTACTCACAGTGTGTCCTGGGTTAGATTGCATGGTCCACTCCATCAGTACTACAGTGGGTCCTGGGTTAGACTGCATGGTCCACTCCATCAGTACCACAGTGGGTCCTGGGTTAGACTGCATGGTCCACTCCATCAGTACTACAGTGGGTCCTGGGTTAGACTGCATGGTCCACTCCATCAGTACTACAGTGGGGTCCTGGGTTACACTGCATGGTCCACTCCATCAGTACTACAGTGGGTCCTGGGTTAGATTGCATGGTCCACTCCATCAGTACCACAGTGGGTCCTGGGTTAGACTGCATGGTCCACTCCATCAGTACTACAGTGGGGTCCTGGGTTAGACTGCATGGTCCACTCCATCAGTACTACAGGGGATCCTGGGTTACACTGCATGATCCACTCCATCAGTACTACAGTGGGTCCTGAGTTTAACTGCATGGTCCACTCCATCAGTACTACAGAGGGTCCTGGGTTAGACTGCATGGTCCACTCCATCAGTACTACAGTGGGGTCCTGGGTTAGACTGCATGGTCCACTCCATCAGTACTAGAGTGGGATCCTGTGTTAGACTGCATGGTCCACTCCATCAGTACTACAGTGGGGTCCTGGGTTAGACTGCATGGTCCACTCCATCAGTACTACAGTGGGGTCTGGGTTACACTGCATGGTCCACTCCATCAGTACTACAGTGGGTCCTGGGTTAGACTGCATGGTCCACTCCATCAGTACTACAGTGGGTTCCTGGGTTAGACTGCATGGTCCACTCCATCAGTACTACAGTGGGGTCTGGGTTACACTGCATGGTCTACTCCATCAGTACTACAGGGGATCCTGGGTTACACTGCATGGTCCACTCCATCAGTACTAAGGTGGGTCCTGAGTTACACTGCATGGTCCACTCCATCAGTACTAGAGTGGGTCCTGGGTTAACCTGCATGGTCCACTCCATCAGTACTACAGTGGATCCTGGGTTACACTGCATGGTCCACTCCATCAGTACTACAGTGGGGTCCTGGGTTAGACTGCATGGTCCACTCCATCAGTACTACAGTGGGGTCCTGGGTTAGACTGCATGGTCCACTCCATCAGTACTACAGTGGGTTCCTGGGTTAGACTGCATGGTCCACTCCATCTGTACTACAGTGGGGTCCTGGGTAAGACTGCATGGTCCACTCCATCAGTAATACAGTGGGTTCTGGGTTAAACTGTATGGTCCACTCCATCAGTACTCACAGTGGGTCCTGGGTTAGATTGCATGGTCCACTCCATCAGTACTACAGTGGGTCCTGGGTTAGACTGCATGGTCCACTCCATCAGTACTACAGTGGGTCCTGGGTTAGACGGCAAGGTCCACTCCATCAGTACTACAGTGGGTCCTGAGTTACACTGCATGATCCACTCCATCAGTACTACAGTGGGTCCTGAGTTTCACTGCATGGTCCACTCCATCAGTACTACAGAGGGTCCTGGATTAGACTGCATGGTCCACTCCATCAGTACTACAGTGGGGCCCTGGGTTAGACTGCATGGTCCACTCCATCAGTACTACAGTGGGGTCATGGGTTAGACTGCATGGTCCACTCCATCAGTACTACAGTGGGTCCTGGGTTAGACTGCATGGTCTACTCCATCAGTACTACAGTGGGGTCCTGGGTCAGATTGCATGGTCCACTCCATCAGTAATACAGTGGGTCCTGGGTTACACTGTATGGTCCACTCCATCAGTACTCACAGTGGGTCCTGGGTTAGATTGCATGGTCCACTCCATCAGTACTACAGTGGGTCCTGGGTTAGACTGCATGGTCCACTCCATCAGTACTCACAGTGGGTCCTGGGTTAGACTGCATGGTCCACTCCATCAGTACTACAGTGGGTCCTGGGTTAGACTGCATGGTCCACTCCATCAGTACTACAGTGGGGTCCTGGGTTAGACTGCATGGTCCACTCCATCAGTACTCACAGTGGGTCCTGGTTTAGACTGCATGGTCCACTCCATCAGTACTACAGTGGGTCCTGGGTTAGACTGCATGGTCCACTCCATCAGTACTACAGTGGGTCCTGGGTTAGACTGCATGGTCCACTCCATCAGTACTACAGTGGGTTCCTGGGTTAGACTGCATGGTCCACTCCATCAGTACTACAGTGGGGTCTGGGTTACACTGCATGGTCTACTCCATCAGTACTACAGGGGATCCTGGGTTACACTGCATGGTCCACTCCATCAGTACTACAGTGGGTCCTGAGTTACACTGCATGGTCCACTCGATCAGTACTACAGTGGGTCCTGGGTTAGACTGCATGGTCCACTCCATCAGTACTCACAGTGGATCACGGGTTACACTGCATGGTCCACTCCATCAGTACTACAGTGGGGTCCTGGGTTAGACTGCATGGTCCACTCCATCAGTACTACAGTGGGGTCCTGGGTTAGACTGCATGGTCCACTCCATCAGTACTACAGTGGGGTCCTGGGTTAGACTGCATGGTCCACTCCATCAGTACTACAGTGGGTCCTGGGTTAGACTGCATTGTCTACTCCATCAGTACTACAGTGGGGTCCTGGTTTAGACTGCATGGTCCACTCCATCAGTAATACAGTGGGTCCTGGGTTACACTGTATGGTCCACTCCATCAGTACTCACAGTGGGTCCTGGGTTAGATTGCATGGTCCACTCCATCAGTACTACAGTGGGTCCTGGGTTAGACTGCATGGTCCACTCCATCAGTACTCACAGTGGGTCCTGGGTTAGACTGCATGGTCCACTCCATCAGTACTACAGTGGGTCCTGGGTTAGACTGCATGGTCCACTCCATCAGTACTAGAGTGGGGTCCTGGGTTACACTGTATGGTCCACTCCATCAGTACTACAGTGGGTCCTGGGTTAGACTGCATGGTCCAATCCATCAGTACTACAGTGGGTCCTGGGTTAGACTGCATGGTCCACTCCATCAGTACTACAGTGGGTTCCTGGGTTACACTGCATGGTCCACTCCATCAGTACTACAGTGGGGTCTGGGTTACACTGCATGGTCTACTCCATCAGTACTACAGGGGATCCTGGGTTACACTGCATGGTCCACTCCATCAGTACTACAGTGGGGTCCTGGGTTAGACTGAATGGTCCACTCCATCAGTACTACAGTGGGTCCTGGGTTAGACTGCAAGGTCCACTCCATCAGTACCACAGTGGGTTCCTGTGTTAGACTGCATGGTCCACTCCATCAGTACTACAGTGGGGTCCTGGGTTAGACTGCATGGTCCACTCCATCAGTACTACAGGGGATCCTGGGTTACACTGCATGGTCCACTCCATCAGTACTACAGTGGGTCCTGAGTTTCACTGCATGGTCCACTCCATCAGTACTACAGAGGGTCCTGGGTTAGATTGCATGGTCCACTCCATCAGTACTACAATGGGGTCCTGGGTTAGACTGCATGGTCCACTCCATCAGTACTACAGTGGGTTCCTGGGTTAGACTGCATGGTCCACTCCATCAGTACTACAGTGGGGTCCTGGGTTAGACTGCATGGTCCACTCCATCAGTACTACAGTGGGATCCTGGGTTAGATTGCATGGTCCACTCCATCAGTACTACAGTGGGGTCCTGGGTTAGAATGCATGGTCCACTCCATCAGTACTCACAGTGGATCCAGGGTTAGACTGCATGGTCCACTCCATCAGTACTACAGTGGGTCCTGGGTTAGACTGCATGGTCCACTCCATCAGTACTACAGTGGGGTCCTGGGTTACACTGCATGGTCCAATTCATCAGTACTACAGTGGGTCCTGGGTTAGACTGCATGGTCCAATCCATCAGTACTACAGTGGGTCCTGGGTTAGACTGCATGGTCCACTCCATCAGTACTACAGTGGGTTCCTGGGTTAGACTGCATGGTCCACTCCATCAGTACTACAGTGAGGTCTGGGTTACACTGCATGGTCTACTCCATCAGTACTACAGGAGATCCTGGGTTACACTGCATGGCCCACTCCATCAGTACTACAGTGGGTCCTGAGTTACACTGCATGGTGCACTCCATCAGTACTACAGTGGGTCCTGGGTTAACCTGCATGGTCCACTCCATCAGTACTACAGTGGATCCTGGGTAACACTGCATGGTCCACTCCATCAGTACTACAGTGGGTTCCTGGGTTAGACTGCATGGTCCACTCCATCAGTACTACAGTGGGTCCTGGGTTAGACTGCAAGGTCCACTCCATCAGTACCACAGTGGGTTCCTGTGTTAGACTGCATGGTCCACTCCATCAGTACTACAGTGGGGTCCTGGGTTAGACTGCATGGTCTACTCCATCAGTACTACAGGGGATCCTGGGTTACACTGCATGGTCCACTCCATCAGTAGTACAGTGGGTCCTGAGTTTCACTGCATGGTCCACTCCATCAGTACTACAGAGGGTCCTGGGTTAGATTGCATGGTCCACTCCTCAGTACTACAATGGGGTCCTGGGTTAGACTGCATGGTCCACTCCATCAGTACTACAGTGGGTTCCTGGGTTAGACTGCATGGTCCACTCCATCAGTACTACAGTGGGTCCTGGGTTAGACTGCATGGTCCACTCCATCAGTACTACAGTGGGTCCTGGGTTAGACTGCATGGTCCACTCCATCAGTACTACAGTGGGTCCTGGGTTAGACTGCATGGTCCACTCCATCAGTACTACAGGGGATCCTGGGTTACACTGATGGTCCACTCCATCAGAGTGACTCACACTGGCCATTTTGTCTACACAGGATGGTCTCTGCAAATGGCATGATTTATGGTGGGGGTTCTGGTCTACACTGGGTAGTCTCTGCCAGTGGTATGGTAGTGGTGTCAGTGTGCTCTCTGGAGTACCAGAAGATGAGGTTTAGCCAGGAGGGTAGCCAACATGTTGATGGGAACATCGAGGCTCTGTGGGCTTTGCTGTGCTGTCAGTCTCTGTGGTCAAGGGTAAGCCCTGTCTGCACAGCTCCACCTACAGGGACCGTGGGAGGCTGCACACCTGGCTATCCACACTGCTTCTTTGAGTTGATGCCATTCTTTCATGGTCCATGGTCGTAAACTCCATCTGTGAGCACGTTGGTTCTGCTTAGTTGAGTAAATCCGTCCAGCAAACGTAAGTGTGGTCCTGAGGGCATCTCCTGAACTTGCTGTTCGTGTGCCTAACATATTTGACACGTGTTGTTTGGTACTAAGAGAAAACCCACGCTGTAGGCCCAGTTCCGATCACCCTTCACAGAGGAGGACCTGACCTGCTGAGCAGCTGCACAGTGCAAATGCAGGTGTGCACTGCACCCGTCCAACCGCTGACACTATGTGTGGACCACTGTGCACTTCTGTCCACCAGCGGGGTGCGTGAGCCAGCAAAGTATCACTCTAAGGAAACCCCTGAGACAACCTAACCACACAAAGTGCATTTCAGCTCCCGGTTCAGGAGGTCCAGGGCCTAGAGGCCCCATCAGGTGACCAGCACAGTGAACCACATGGATGATGGGGACACACACATCTACGCCCCTGCGGTATCTCCCCTCTCCATATAAACCCACCAGGATTCACCAATGACCTGAACCAATGGAATCATTTCCAAAGACTCTACCTATACACACCATAGACAGATTTTTCAATCCTTTTTGTAGCCCTACTGTAAAACTTTGGGTATTAAACTGGATGAATGCAGAGCCATAAATCATATTCAACTCATAGTACAAAGGAACTGAGAATCCCATGACCATGGCAATGCCAGCGTTAGTTCTGCCCCTGGGGAAGGTGGGGGTTTCCCAGGCATATGAGGACCTGGGGTATTATTACTCCACATATGAGGGCCTGGGGTATTATTACTCCGCATATGAGGGCCTGGGGTAGGATTTCACATGTGAAAGGACTGGGGGTGCTATGATTCCCCATGTAAGGACCAGGGGTATTATTACTCCACATAGGAGGACCTGGGGTAGGATTCCACATGTGAAAGGACTGGGGGTGCTATGATTCCTCGTTTAAGGACGTGGGGTATTAGTATTCCACATAGGAGGACCTGGGGTAGGATTCCACATGTGTAAGGACTGGGGGCGCTATGATTCCTCGTGTCAGGACCTGGGGTATTATTACTCCACATAGGAGGACCTGGGGTAGGATTCCACATGTGTAAGGACTGGGGGCACTATGATTCCTCATGTCAGGACCTGGGGTATCAGTAACCCACATGAGGACCTGGGGCACCATTAGTCAACATACAGGGATGTGGGGGTATGACTCCTTATGTAAGGACTAGGGAGGTGTAATTTCACTCACATCTTCTGGGTAAGTTGATCCATCATCCAATCAGGAGATTTTTAACATGAGGTTATGAGGCCATCAACAGTATTCACTTTTAACATGACCCTGTTTGTCCTCTCTCATTTTTCATTGTTGGGCTTGTTGAAACATAAAGTATTTCACACACCTCAAGTGACAGATTTGTTTTCTGAACAAAAATCCCTTTCTCTGAAACCCCAGAAAAGGCACATGTGCACTAAGACGGCCAGTTCTGCAGATGAGTACTTTTTTTCTAATGCAGTTAACTTTTCAACTTCAAAGCTGTTACTGCGTGATCAACTACAAATTCCAAATAGCTGCAATCCTTACTTATTACCCCAGAGTACAGCATGAGTGGTCACCACTTCTGGTATAGACACCCCCTTTTTGGGAGAGGTTACAGGAAGTCTTTTAGCCCATTCTGGGGTGCGAGGTGGGTGGGTGGCTTAGAAGAAGAAATGTAAACTTCCCCTCGTTCGTGTTCTCCAAGTTCAGAGTGCCCATGGAGCAGGTGCAGCCACGGCTTCCTCTCTCTGCCTGAGGCGGGCACGTGCCTCTTTTTCAGATACTGCTGAGCATGGTTTGGCTGTCCACTCTGGATCATTGTCCTGGATTCTGGGTGTGTGCTGCGGACAAGTGAGCCCTGGACAGCAAGGTGCGGAGCATCTGGCAGAGCCGAGAGTGGCCAGCACGGAGCATGGGAGGTGGCGCGCGGTGGCGGGGTGGGGCAGCGTCTTGGACACGGCTTGGAAGGAACAGAGATTTATGAACAAGGGACTTGCGTTTGCATTTTTCAGTGGTCCCACAAACTGGGCAGACAGCTGTGGGTGTGGGCAGCACAGGGCCCCTGCTGTGCCTCTTCAGAGCACGCCAGTGGCCCGCTGTCCCCGCAGGAGAAGTGAGGCCAGACGAGCTGGGCTGCAGGGAGCAAGCTGCTGCCTGTGTCCCGGGAGAGCAGGCAGAGGGCTCTGGATCTGGGGAAATGAAGCCTCTGGAGCCTGAACCATGATGGGCCTGCAGCTGCACAAACGCTGCCCTCCACACCAGAGCAGCAGAGCAGCGCCTCTGCAGACTCCAACACAACACGTGCAGACCTTAACACGGTCAAAGGGATGCTATGCAGGCGGAGAAGGCCCAGGAAAGCACAACACAAGACGGCCGGGCAGCATCAGCCAGGGCCACGGTGGACATCACGCCCATCCGGCATTCAGAGCAGCCCGGGCGCCAGCTCTGGGGTCTACCACAGGGAGCCCGTGCACACCCAACAGCAGCGAGGCTTCCTGGGGGCCAGGCGAGGTCCTCACGTGGGCCTTCCCGAGGACACGGCCTGTCTCCTTACCGCCTCGACCCTCACTTCCATTTCCTGGTGGGCCACGAGACCCCCACCTCTGTGGCTGGCACGGCCTCTCGCATCTGGATCTGAGCAGGCGAGGAGGAACCGCGCCCTCCAGGGCAATTTATCTCACTTCTGTCTTTAGTCCCTTTATTAGCAAGAAATTAGAACAGAACTGACTCCAGAAAGGCAACAGAGAACGGCCGACCGTCAGCCCGGGTGAGCGGGCTGTACCTGTGACTGTCCACAGCCCGCAGCCCGCAGGACCAGGAGCTGCCTTGCCTGCCCTAGAAACTCAGGAGCCAGGAGGTGCCAGTATTCCTTCTCAGACACAAACAGAAGACGCAAGAGTCCTAACCCAACACTCAGAAAGCAACACACACGCTGGAGGACAGAGCGGTGGAAGGATTTCCCCGGGAACTGCACTGCGCCAGTCAGTCCCAAGGCCTGGCATTCTAAATTACAGATTCTGGTGTGTCAAAGTTTCTCAGAGTAGCCAGCATGAAACAAGCCTTTTCTGCCCCATTTCTGGAGAGTGGTTGGAGCGTGCAGTGGGTGGCAGTAACCGGGTCTGAAGGAGCAGCGCTCACCCCTGACCGTCCAAGGCTCGCAGCCCTGTCCAGAGCGCTTAGGAACACTTCCCATGGATTCCATCATCTCTGTGTCTTGGTTCTGAAAACCTCCCGGGTACTGCTCAAAATGACTTCTTCCATGTATACAGAGAATCAACTTGTTCCCTCTCTGAGAAATTAGCCTCATGCACCGTCTCTCAGTCTCCTCCAAGGGCCAGTAACACCTGCACAGGTGTTTTCTATGCTAATAATAAATACTTCCAACACAAAGCCACAGCTCACTCCTTTGCATACTCCTTTGACTATTTGTCACAATGCCTTGAACTTTGCAGATAAATCAATTAATATTTGTTCAGCCAATCAAAGTAATGAAGGCCTACAGTTTATTGGTAAGATTATATCTATATCCAGGAACTAGAGTAATTTTAAAATTTACATAATTTTAGCGTGTGCAGGAGCTGTTAATTATATAATCCCCACTATAATGACCTGAGTTGTTAAACTGCCAAGGGAGGGCAGAGCAGGATGCTAACCAGGGCACTCCCTGGCTGGGCTCTAAGTTCTCCCACTGTAACGCTCACCTTGTGTCTTGCAAGCACCCTGTCACCTCCTAGGTCTCAATCCTGTTTATGGATGTGTGCTACACAGCTGGGCCTGGACCCTCACAAGCCCAGCTTGAACCTTTTAGGTCTCCAAGGTTTTTCTTCAAAGTGGCAACTGTCAAACGCAAGTAGGAACCCCTGGGGTTCCTAGCACCCCTTAGCCCATCTGGGACTCAAATCTCTCTTTGATGCCAAACTGTTTTGTGCTTTTTCCTCTTTATCTCTTCACATGTTTTCTAAATATCAATTTAAACAAATGACTCTCACTATGGAAGAACTAAGGAAGCCAAAAGTCTAAAAAGTACAGCAAATGAACCCAAAACTAAAACAGAAATCACAGAGCGCCTTCCAAAGCCCAGTAACTTTAAGGAAAAGGGACTGGAGTGTCTGCTAGGACTTACTTTGCTGAGTTCTGAAACGGCCCATTAGGCTGACTGCACCAGCGACGACGACTCCACAGACTTAAGTGATTCAGTGTTGGCATGCTCCCAACAGAGGCGACACGCAGCTGCGTGTCACCACGCCCTGACTTGGAAACACGCACTCCTCTCACACACACCAGATGTAAATGAATGTCATTCCATATCCCCCTGGGACCCTTGGACTTGAACTCAGTCTGCATCGGATGGTGACAGTGGCACTAAGAAACACACTGCTTCACCAGGTCTGTTCAGCCCCGGCAGCCTCACTCAGTGTTAAGTCAACTTCTGGCATCATTTTTATGGGCCACTAACCTAACTTGTACTTATTCTTAGACAGATATCATTATTGTACTCCAGTGTAATCAAAACATATGTTAAGGTACCAGGACTAGTTCCACACTAGGGCTTTAATATTTTAACACTATTTAGTTTTTTTATAACTAATTTAAAATTTATAAAACATAAACTGTGAAGTAGTAATACAATGTGTATTCCATGTATATAAACTGACTTTATTCCTCCCACCCCTTCCAGACTCCTGTGTTCAACATTCTGTGTTTAGAAGGAGGTTTTTATTTATTTACTCTGTTTTAAATTTTAGCTCTCACATCGCAGGGAGAACATGCGGTATTTAACTTCCTGTTTCTGGCATATTTCACTCAACATGATGTCCTCTGGTTCCATCCATTTTTCCACAAATATCAGGATTTCATTCTTTTAAATAACTGAATAGTGTGATTTTATGTATATATACCACCATTTTCTTTATCCATTCATTTGATGATGGGCCCTTTGGTTAACTCCTTATTTTGCCTACTATATTGGGAACAGTGATGCTATCAACACAGTGCCTCCGGTATCTCTGACAGACGAAGTTCACGTCTTTGGATAGACACCACTAGGCGGCTTACTGTATCACACAGCAGTTCCATTTCTAGTCTCTCTCTCGTTGTAAAGCAATCTCCCTGTTTGGCACAGCGGCAGCACTGGCTCACATACCCACCGACGCTACGTACAAGTTCTCATCTCTCCACACCCTCCTCAGCACTGGGCACCCTCAGCCTTTCTGATAAGGGGGTGAGGAGGCTGGGTGAGGGGGTAACCGACTGTTGTTTTGATTTGCATCTCCCGATACCTAGTGACGCTGAGCATTTTCGTCTTTCTGTTGGCCATTTACGTCCCTCCTGTTGAGAACTGTCTACTCGGGCTGCCCGTTTCTGCACTGCATTGATTGCTGCTTTGCTGCTGCTATCCAGGCTTGTGCGCAGCTGATACATTTCGAGTATTAATCCTTCGTCACACAAACGTCTCCTCCTCCTCCTCCTTGCTCTGCTGTGAGAAGCTTCTGGGTATGTGCAGTGTTGCTCTTGTTGCCTTTGCAGTCACCAGGCACCATGTCTTGAAGGGCGTCCCTGGTCCACTCTGAGTTCATCTCTGGGTGTGGAGAGAGGCAGGGGTCTAACTTCACTCTTCTCAATGCCATGCAGCTGGCTTGGCCAGCACCCTGCACTGAACACTGCCTTTTCTCCAGTGGGTGTGACTGACACCTTTCTCAAACACCAGCTCGCTGCAGCATGGGGGTTATTTTCTGAATTGCTGTTTCACGAACCCATGCGCCGTCTGGTTTTAGTATGAAACACGTGCAACAGTACCTCGCTGTTGTAATGACCTCCGTAGCACGCCTGGAAATCAGACACTGAGATGCCTCCAGCTTCGTTACTTTTCTCCCTCAGGATTACTTTGGCTGTTCTGTGTCTCCTCTGATTCCATATGTAGTTTGGGATTTTTTTCTAAAGATTTATTTATTTGGAAAGCAGAGTTACAGAGAGACAGTGAGACACAGAATGAGGAATCTGCAATCCATTAGTTCACTCCCTAAATGGCTGTACTGGCCAGGGCTGTGCCAGGCCAAAGCCAGAAATTAGAACTCCATCTGGGTCTCCCACGTGGGTGGAAGAGGCCCAGCCCTGGTGGCATCTCCCACTGCCTTTCCCTGCAGGTTAATGGGTAACTGGATCCACAGGGGAGCAGCCAGGACTGGAAGAGGCACTCCCACAGGTGATGCCTGCATAGCAGGTGGTGGCCTAACCTGCTGCATGACAATGCTGGCCCCTAGGGTTGTTTTTTAAATTCCATAAAGAATGTCATTTGCATTTTCATGGGAACTGCATTGAATCTAGAGAGGGCTTTAGGTAACAGAGACTGTAAAAGACATGAATTTTTCCAATCAAAAAAAAAATCTTCGCATGCTTTGTTTATGTCTTTCATTATAATTTTCATTCTAGTGATCTTTCGGGTCCTTGGTTAAATTTATTCCTAAATATTTTTGTGGCTATTGTGGATGAGATTTCTTTTCAATGACATCATTATTGATGTATAAGAAGGTTAACAGCTGGGGCTGGCACTGTGGCATAGTAGGCTAAGCCCCTGCCTGCAGCGCTGCAAACCCATATGGGCACTGGGTCATGTCCCAGCTGCTCTCTGCGGATGGCCTGAGAAAGCAGGAGATGGCCCAAGTGCTTGGGCCCCTGCACCCACGTGAGAGACCCAGAAGCAGCTCTGGGCTCCTGGCTTTGGATCCGCTCAGCTCCAGCCTTTGCAGCCACTTGGAGAGTGAACCAGCAGAGGGAAGAGCTCTCTCCCTTTCTCTCCTCTCTCTGTGGATGTAACTCTACTTCTCAAGTAAGTGAAATCTTTTCTAACAAATGCTAGCTACTTTGTATATTGATTTTCTATCCTATGGCTTTCCTCAATCACTGTATCAGTTTCTTGGAGGAGTGTCTTTTCATACAGGAAGTACTGGCATCTGCAAGGTCAGGTATTCACAGCCCCCTTCCAGTTCCCACGCCCTTTCTTTCCTTCTCCTCCCTAACTGCTCTTGCTGACATTTACAACACTACACTGAGCAGGGGTGGTGCAAGAGCTGAGAAATGCTTCCACTTCCCCTGCCCAGTAGGACACCGGCTGCCACACCTTCACGTATAACCTGTGTAATTGAGGTTTATTCCTTCTATACCTAATTTCTTGAGTTTGTTTGCTTATAACCAAGAAGGGATGTCGAATCTTATCAAGTGGAATCTCTGCATCCATGAGATGGCCACATGCTTTTGTTCTTCAGTCTATGGATGTAACTAATGCCCCGTATTGATCTGCACACTGTGAACCACCCTTGTATGTCTGGGATCAATGCCACTTGATCTGCTATCAACACATAATGACTAAAATCTGTCTTACCTGATATGGGTGTAGATATGCCTGCCTGTTTTCAGTTTCCATGTGCGTGGCCTATTTTCCCATGGTTTCAGGATCAGTCAGTGTGTGCCTTTACCTCAGAACTGTGTTTCTTATAGGCAGCAAAAAAGTGGGTGCTGATTTTTAACCCATTCAACCAGCCTTGAGCATCTGACTGGAGAATTTTATCTATTCGCAGTCACAGATAATACTGATAGATGAAAAGCAACTCCTTTCATTAGTTACTGATGATGTCTGCTCTGCTGGTGAACTGGGTGCCGTCATGTTGCTTACTTCTAATGCAGGACTTTCAACAGTGTATGTGAGGCTGGGCTGGTCTCGTGGTTACGAATTCACTGCTTTTGTTTGTCCAGGAAATATTTTAATTCTTCTCTTTTAAGGTTAGTTTCAACAGATTGGACTCTTAGCTGGATTTTTTTTTTCCTTTCAAGACCTTGAATACATCATTCTACTCTTTCGGCCTGAAGGCCTTCTGCTGAGACGTCTGCTGTTTGTCTAACTGCTTTTGCTGTGTAGGAAGGTGATGGTTTGTTTCTTACTGTCTTCAGATTGCTTCCTTGTCCCTAACTGACCATTTCACGACAACGACTTGGGGAAACTCTTTCTTGGTTGAGTCATCTTGGGGTCTTTAGTGCTTCCTGTATCTGGATGTCCCTATCGCTTCCAAACCATAGGAAGTGAACTGTTACTTCACTCACAGATTCCCAATGCCCTTTTCCCCTTCTATTCTCCTTCAGGCATCCCTATAACACAAATATTTGCTCACTTAAGAGTATCCCGGATTTCATGTAGGCTTTCTTCATTCTTTTTAATTCTGAGCTCTTTATTTCCAATTGACTGAGTTACATCCAAAGTTTTGCTCTCCATATCACAGTCTTTTTCTTCTACCTGTTCTATTCCGCTGTTAAACCTCTCAACTATATTTTTTATTTTATCTCCATGTTTGAAGTTTTCTGGCCCAAAATTCCTATCTGGCTCTTTTTAATATTTTCTGTCTCTTTACTGCACTTTTGATTTTTGCCATCTATTGGTTTCCCCATCTCTTTAAACTGTCTGTCTATAATCTCCTTGAGTTTCCTTAGGGCCATTATTTTGAACTCCTTTCTGGTATTTCACAGAATACCTGCAGGTCAGGACCTACTTCTGGAGAACATTGTGTTCTTTTGGAAGTGCCTTCAGGTTTCCTATACTGACATCTGCACAACCGGCATAATTCCCTTTTCCATGGTGTAGCTCTCATTGAAAAAGACTTTTATTTAGATGGGATGTAGAGTATCACTTGGGTCGTTTCTCTCGGTGACTCTTTGTGAGCCCAGAGGTGCAGACTCTGAATGACTTACTCAGCAGTCATCAGTGCTGCCAGTGCCTGCAAGTGCCAGAGCTGTCCACGCACCACAGTTCTGGACGTGGTGATACCACTGTGAAGTGGCGTGAGCTTTCACAGGTGTGTGCCTTTAGCTCTCGGGAATTAAGCATCATCACACTGGCGTTCATGATGTCTGAAGTCGTATTTCTGATGCTGTGGGACCCAGAGGAGGCTGTCTCACCTGGTGACAGACATGCCTGTGTGATGCTAGGGATAAGGACCCTGGCGGAATATGGGAACAGAACCTTCCCAATCAGCTGCTTAAAGCAGAGGAATATAGGTGGGGTCTGCGAGATCCCACAGATGGGTACAAGTTACCCCAAGATAAGCAGCTGCACAAACATCTCCAGAGTTGCAAGGTACAGAGGGCCTGCTTCCCGTTACTGGAGGGCATGCAAGGCTGAGGCCTGGGCTTGTGCCCTAAGAGCCACAGAGGGGCTTCCAACGTCTGGGATTACACATGGGCTGCTGCTGGCAACTAGCCCCAGGAGCCAGTGAGACTTTCCCACATGGCACAGAGGAAGCAGAGGAGCCCCAGGGCTTGTGCCCAGAGCTCCCACCCAGGCAGAGGACTGCCCTCTGCCCTTGTTGTCTCCACAGAGGCTCTGGTACTGAACGGGTGCTTACTCCCCCGGCAGGTGCGATTGAACAGCATCTTGACAGTAGCTCGTGTGTGGTGCTTCAGGGATGGGGGGAGGCTCCTTCTTTGGAGTGAAACATTCGCTCAGACCCAGTCAGCTCTGTAAACGGACTTTCTACCCGTGAGGGCTGTGGCGTTCTCCTGCAGTTAGGGTTCACCATGGTGGCATTGCCTGCTTACGTCTTCCCTGCCTGGGAGCTTGCGAAGGAATGGTGGAGAAAACAGCAGGCCACGTGCTCTTCTCTCTAATGGCCACCGGCATCTCTGTGCTGCTGGCAGACACAGTCACTTCTTACTGCAGTTTCGCCCTCAGTCCTAACCTTTTATACACAGAACCCCTTTCCTGTGTGATGGCATCCCCGGCCAGGGAACCAGGACCACAGTGGCTCCGACAACAAACCCGTCCTTGATTAAGGCATTGACTCCTCCCCACCCCCCAACATCAGTGCACTGGGGACCAAGCTTCCAACACATGGACTTTGGGGTTCACGCTCGGACCACAGCTGGCCATCACCTCCACAACCTGTTTGGGGAAACTGCACCTTCCTGCTGGTTGCCTCTCACCCTGAGCCTCACACTACAATGAAACAAGCACAGTGCAGCAGACACGCCCAGAAGCAGCAGCGAGGAGCTGGATGTCTCACCCCACAACCCTCAGGGGCCTGAGCTCCGCCAAGGACCACATTGGTTTGAAAGAAGAGCCCTCCCAGTGCAGTCTTCAGATGAAAAGCCAGCCAGACACCGAAGCACGGGACCCAGTGCGGCTGTGCTCAGCCCATGGAGCCCAGAAATGGTGACATGCTAGACATGTGCTTTACGTCTCCCTGTCTGTGGTGATGTCAGCAGGCAGCAACGCAAAATCCACACGCTGGCTCAGACAACAGTTCTGAATCCAAGAAGCCCCCTCCTTGCACAAGTAAGGGAAATGCAGCTGGGAAGGCAGTGGAAGGTGGCCCCAGCACCAGGGCCCCTGCCCCCCAGCGGGGAGACCAAGATGGAATTTCTGGCTCCTGGCTTCAGCCTGGCCCAAATCTGGCTGGAGTTTTGGAGAGTGAACCGGTGATGGAAAATCAATCTCAATCTCTCTCTCTCCCTCTCCCTCTCTGTGTGTGTGTGTGTGTGTGTGTGTCCCTCTCTGTCATTCTGTCATTAAAAAATCTTTTTTAAAAAGTTGATAATAATATATATTAAAGTTCAGTATTTATTTGAATAAATGCATTGTCTTTCAAGGGAAGAATTTGTCAAATGATATTTTCACGCTCACAGGTAGCTTTGATTTGACTCCGATATTTATTTCACCACATTCATGTTCTGAAGACAATCTTGATATTATTGCGAATTCTGTCTCTCTGAAAGCAGTCAGTTTCACTGTGAAGTTAGCAACATATGTTGCTTTCAAAGTTCTGTGGCTCTTTTACAGCAGACTTCATCTTGGCCTTTTAAAAAACCACAGGGGCCAATGTTGTGATGCAGCGGGTAAAGCCGCCACCTGCGGTGCCAGCATCCCATATGAGCGCCAGTTCGAGTCCCGGCTGCTCCACTTCTGATCCAGCTCTATGCTATCGTCTGGGAAAACAGAAGATGCCCAACTCTTTGGCCCCTGCATGCCTGTGGGAAACCCGGAGGAGGCTCCCGGCTCCTGGCTTCAGATTGGTGCAGCTCCGGACATCATGGCCATTTGGGGAATGAAGCAGCGGACGGGAGATTGATCGATCTCTCTCTTTCTCTCTCTCTCTCTCTCTCTCTGGATCTGCCTCTCTGTAACTCTGCCTTGTCAAATAAATGAATAAATCTTTTAAAAAATAAAACACCACATCATTAGCTCATGCAGGATGGACTCAAAGAGGCCATGCACGTGAACACTGCACATGTCCCTCTCTATGTTTAGGTGACAACACAAGTCAAACAAAAATAATTGTTTGATACCACAGATTCTATGCATTCAGCTTAGATTCATATCACGTTGGTTTGCAGTTGTACCTCTTGAGAAGATACAGAGCGGTTCTCTCTAGAATTACTATTAAAACAAAGACATCAAATTGTCCATGCAATACTAATATGAATGCAAGAAAAAATATACGCACATATGTGATAAACATGCAAAATGGATCACATTTTCATAGCTGGACCTGAAATACGACTTTATGCCACAAGCATGCAGACATGTTTCATCAGTTTTCTGTTCTTTTACCCATAGATGTATGAGACATGAAATAAATACATGCACACTTCCCAAATAGTCACACTTCTGAAATTAAAACAGGAAAACTAGAGAAAATGGCAAGAACATGGAGCGAATGCCTGCCTGTGTTTAATCCAGAATAATTAACACTGTGTTTGACACTCGCAGGTGCTGTCCTAGCGCCAGATGATCACACTGCTCTGAGTCAGTTACATTCAACCAGACAGGCTCTCAGTGAGCTAGAACCCCCACCCCCCCACAGCTCCCCAAACAGCACCCCTGACCTCCGCAGCTCACTCCTCTAGCACTCAGGAACCCCATGTGTGGGAGTCAGGGCACCACAGCAGCTCTGTGCAAACTGGGGAAGGACGTTGCTCACCATTGACTCAACCTGGTAGGAGATGGGAAGATTCAGCCCACGCCAGACTCGCCACCAGAGCCATTTCTCCCTCGGGGACGTGGAGGCAGAACCACCGGTGGGCTGTTCCTTGTATGGAAGAGTTCTGGGAGCAGGTGAGGAAACACCAGTGGAGGAGAGGAACACAGGATCTCTCGAGCGGCAGGTTTCGGCACAGCAGTTAAGACGCTGCGTGGGACCCGCGTGCCACGGCAGAGTGCCCGGATTAGAGTCTTGGCTCTGTTCTTTCCAGTGTCCTATGAAGCATGCCCCGGCAGGCAGTACGTGACGGTTTAGGTACTTGTGTTCCTGATGCCCACGTGAGAGACGTGGCTTGAGTTCCCAGCTCTTGGCTTTGACTAGGCCCAGGGCCAGCTGTCATGGGCATTTGGGAGTGGGAAGCACTGATGGAAAAATCTCTTCCTGTTTTTCAAATAAATAAAAATAAATACTTTAAAAAGCAATGCCTTCAACTTGTTTAGTATATACTGAGTGTCTAGAAAGTATAAAGTTTTGAAAGTAGATTTCAGAAGACAAAAGCACAGTCCCTGGACGACAGGAAGGGAGATGCTGGGGCTGACTGCAGAGCAGACAGGGCAGTGGGCTCTGGGGTGGGGAGAAGGCATCACGGTGGGGTATGTGGAAAGGTATGGGTGTGCAGAACAGAGACTCATCAAATATTCTGTTAAGCAGCTTTTTGTAAATGCCATTATTGTTTGGCCTCTTAATAAAAAAATAAGCCTGAGCAGAATAAAATGAGCTCAAATATCCGTGTTTCACACCATGAATCATCTAGCTGTTCAAGCCATGAGTCATTAACATGACACAAACAAGTCACAAAGACAGGGCTCTCGTGCACCACGCACAAAGCAGCTAGAACTAAGTAACCTTGCAAATTCCAACTGCACGCAGGGACCCCTGGACACGCACGTGCACACAAGCGTGTGGAAGTACGCATGTATGTATGAGGTATGTATGGATCACTTTGTGCTCCTAACACAGAGGTGCCTGCACAGAGCCCAAAACACAAAACAAAAGCAGAGACTATACTCTTTTATTGCAAAAACTTTGGCTATTCAATTTTCTGTAAAAAATATGAAATGTCAAAAAGCTAGGATTTGGATTACCAACTGGACAACGTGCATATCTTCACAGCCCCTGAGCAGTCAGATCCCGTGAGATGACCTCCACGCAAGAGAAGCCGAGACTCCCTCCTGCGGATGCTGCTGAGTGAGGGGTGGGGGAGCCTGCTTCACTCATTCTCCCTCTCTGGAGAACAGCGGGTCACCTTCAGCCACCTCATCAGTAATGGAAGGGAATTAAAACGCGTGCAAAGCCCGAGACGCCCAGATCAGAGGGAACAGGGTCGGATTAGGCAGAGGCCTTTTCCTGGAATGCGCGGCTTTGAGCAATGTGAAGCTGTAAAGAGCTGTAACACTGTAAGCAGCTGGAATAAAACCGAGACACAAAGGCCAGCGACCCGGGAAGACGTCAACAACTCTAACAGGCAGAGAGATGGAACCTTCACAACACGCATTGGGGTGATCTGCTATGATTGTCAAGTACTTCAGCGTGTTCCCGGGACCATCATGCTCAGGGATGCCCTCGGACATGGAGACAGAGGCTGAGTCGGCACGAGCTCTCCAGGGCGAAGTGAAAACAGAGCTGCAGGAGCTACTGTGTCTCCAGTGTCTCCACAAACACCTGGACGCGGAAGCCTCTGTCAACATCTGTAAAACAAAGCCTGCAGGCGCGCAGTTCCCTTCTAATTCCAACCCGTGAGTGAAACACTGATTAGAGGTGACTGGGTAGCATATTTAGTAAACTTGGGTTTTTAAAACAGAATCAGCAGCAGTAATATCTTAGAGTGACAATGTCAAACTAGAAAGGAAAAAGAAGTGACTCACTCATCTTGGCTGGAACTAATAATAAACCAATATTGCCCCTCAACAGGCTACACAGCAGTGATGCTTAAGGCACTAGGGGGCGCTGTCTGTGTTCTGACACAGAAACAGAAAGTGTCATGAACACACACATTTTGCCATCTTTATCTTTTACTGTCTCCCTCTCTAGTTCTCTTTATTTCTTGTTTTTTTTTTTTTTTTTTTTTTTTTTTTTTTTTTTGGTTTGTTTGTTTGTCTGCTGAACTATTTAAAAGTGAGGTGCAGAGAATTCCAGTTTTTGCCTGGGATGCACAAACACAAATAAAAGCCTTAATCGAACCTCAGAATAAAAGAGGTGGGCAAACTATAAATGCACTACTTTTCCTACCAACGAATACTGAACTAAAGAGAGGAGGTGTGTGTGAGGGGGGATGGAAGCCTGCAGGGACTCACCTGGTGGCCCACTGGGAAAGGAGGAGTTCGGTCCACTGGGTTGCAGGCACAAAACCAGCGGGGGCTCACCCAGGGAGTCTCCCCACACGGACCCTGGGGACCAGAGACACGAAGAAAGTTTTCTCCCAGTTACAAGCTCTCCCCTCGGATCTCACCCAAATTCCACAAAAAAGTGGCTGTGAGGGGATCTTCACTGTAGGAGACAACGACAGCAGAATGGTAGCCACTCCAGAAACGGCTGGAGACCTGCTGCCACGCCCCCTCCCTGCTCCACTTCTCCCTGGAAGGTGCTTGAATCTGCAGGGGAAGCTCTGGAGGGCACGATGAGCGGCCCTGATGCTGGAGAAAGCCGGTCTGGACCCCGTTCCCACAAAAGCACAGGGAGGGCACACAGGGACACCAGGCAGCCACATCCTGGACTGCGGACACAGCATTTGCCAGAACACAATGCTGCTCCCAGCACCGAATCTCCAGGCTGAAAATGCTGCAGTAACATGGAGTATTGGAATACAGCTTTGGGGGTTGCAAAAGCCAGTGGGTAGAGACTCTGTTTAGGGTGAAGTGGGAAGAGAAGACCTGCTCACCGTCAACACAAGGATCACCAAGGGAGGTTGAGGCCGGGGCAGGCAGGATGAACAGCAAATCCCAGACCCTGCACACATCTTGACCAAACTGATTCCAACTCTCTAAGCAAGCAACTACTGTGGAATACAAGGCATCCAACATCTGCCCAAAGGTACAGAGCACAGGAAAGGAGCAGAAACACCACTAAGACACACAGCAAGCCACAGAACCAGACAGGACCCAGGTGCACACACTGTCACACAGACAATGCCAAATTACCACAGCAACACAGTAAGCTCTTCTAGAAAACACAGCAGCAGGAGCAAGCATAATTCAGCAGACAGACAGAAAACACAGGTTTGTCGGAGGTGAGAAATGCAGTCCCAGGGATGGAGATGGCCTTCCAATATCTCACCAGCTCACGTGGCGTGCCCAGGAAAGGACAGGAGCCGCTACAGCTCCCTAAACCACCCACCAAGGGAGAAGCAGCTGGACAGAGCAGGGCAGAAAATCCAGGAGCTCTGAGAGGCCACGCTGTTACACGTGTGTACCGGCACTCCCGGAGGACACTAAGAAGGAAGAAGGAACAGAAAGAACCAACTTTTGTTTTTTTTTTTTTTAAATTAATGAAAGCCACAAAATCAAAGATCCAGAAAACTTAGAGAATATCAACCAGAGTTTAAAACACTCAGGTAAGATATATTCAGACTGAAAAACCAACACAAGCAGAGAATCTTAACGATAAACAAAGATGACCCAGGCATCAGAAAAAAAAAAAAAAAACAAAACCATTACAAACATTGCCCCTTCCCAACACGGAAGGGACACGGCTACGGCTCTGAGGAGCGGCCCGAGAAACGCCCGTCCAGCCCCAAATCTAAGCCTGGTGAAAACAGCTTTCAAAGAGAGAGAAATGTAGCCTTTCTCAGACAAATACATCTCCACTGTCAGCAGACTGGTACTAAACTAAGTATTTTAAAAGTTCCTTAGGCAGAAAAAAAGTGAGCGTTCCAAGAATGGAGTGCACGGTGAGGCCTCTGAAGGTGGCTGCGGGCGTCCCCCCCGCCCCCAAGGAAGAGAACAGGAAGACACCTCGTGTCATCGCCAGATTGGTCCAAGTGAGAGCCCACAATCTTGTATCTGATTTGGTTTTTCAATATGGAAATTTGATGGTCCTTGCACTGTGATGTCTGGTTTGTCTCAACTGAGGGCAGCTCTCTCATACGTGACCTGCACCACCATGGCATCCAGGATAGCACAGGCCAGGGGGACGCTCCCCACGCTGAGCTCCATGGTTGCTTCCTCCAGTCAGGCTCAGGAGAAACATCGCGGCAAACAACATGACAGCGGTCATGCAACACCACTCTCCTGCACCTCAGCGAGGGGACCCTGTGAGTGACGCACAGTTTGACTGCTCGGTTACCGTGGAACGCACGGATCTTTTCATTACGTGGGTCTCTTTCTGCGTTTGTCGTTAAGAAATAATCTGTGGTGACCATTTGAAGCTGTGTGTAGTACACTTCATTCCCTGATGCATCATCAGCACTTTAATTCCCACCCACACTCACTGCCCCTGTGTCTGCATTTCTGGTCATTAAGTTTGGTTTTACTTCTCCTTGGAGACAAGACACAGTGAAGGTCACACAGGATGGCATCACAACTATGGACTTTTTCATTTTTTTTATTTATGTGAAGAGCGGACAGACATGAAGAGACAGAGGTCTACTGCCTACTTATTCACCCCTCCAAATGCCTCCAGCAGCTAGAGTGAGGCCAGTGCGCAGCTCGGAGCCAGCAGCTCTGCAGGTTTGCCATGTGGGAGCCAGAGAGCAAGTACTTCAGCCATCACTTCCTGCCTGCCAGGGTTCACATTGACAGGAAGCTGGAGCTGGGGGAGGGACAGGAACTAGGCTTTCCACAAGGCTTCTTACCCTCTCATCCGGACGGTTTCAGATTCGCCCTCTACCCGGCTGACCCATCACCACAGACCCCTCCCGGTCTGCGAGCTGTCGGCTGTGCTTTCCCTCCTCCTCCACCCCTGCATGCTACTCTCCGCACCAGCATGCGCCAGAGTGCCTCAGCTCCCACCACAGCGCCCTCTGCGTTGCTTCAGTCACACCCAGGACAAGGCGGGTCCCACATTCTCCGTGACCACACACATGGACTCTTCCTGCGCCACAGGGCAGTTACACAAAGGCGAAGCCACCTCAGATGCACACGTGGAAGAAGGAGCTCACGCTCTAACTCAGGCCTGGTTCTCCTTTTCTATTTCAGAAATGCCGCCACTGACGAAACTGCTGAAGCCCAACGTTCAGTTCTTGTTACATCCCAAATCTACTCAAGTAGCATGAATGCTCCAACCAGCCAGACCCCTACGTCAAACTATGATTTTTTTGCCTTGATTGCCATGGCTGCCTTTTAACTCTTACCTCGCGCATTCAGACCACGCAGCCACGAAGAGCTGAAGCTCTCTTTCCAACACAGATCTGATTTGCCTTTGCGCCTCTGCCCATCCTGCCTCCCTCTTCCTGTTAGAAATTCTTGAGTGAAATGTACAGCCTTGGACAGAATGAGGTGTCTTCAATGGCTTGTGGAAGCCCTCTGGAATCGCTCCTGGGTGCCGCCCTCTGCATGATTCAGGGTGAGTCACTGGGTGCCTTCTGTGAGCCCCTCACGGGCTTAGGCACCAGGGATGCAGAAGCGAATGACAGCAAGGCATGTGGCTAATTGTTACTGCTGGGCAGATGACTGGAGTTTCACGAGGTCGGTGTCACCGAAGTCTGCGCCAATGGTTTCTGACTGTATTTCCTACCACAGTCTATGCCGAGGGACAGGGAGAGACTCAGAGGCTGTCATCCCCATTGCCCACGGCAGGAGACCTGATGGGGAACAGCCAACCTGCGCAGCTCCACGAGGTTGCTGAACCACTGCGGTCTGGAGGGGAGTCCGTGCGACCACGTGTGAGAAGGCTCAGCCGGGAGACACGTCCCTCACGCCTGGGTCATTAGGGAAACCTTCTTCCCTGTGTCGCAGAGGCCACTCCACAGGCTCCACGGCAATCAGCGAATCAGGGCACTCAAGAGATGTGCGGATGTGCGAGCTTTACCTCTGGCTGTCGCTAAAGAACGGGAAAAAATAACTTGTGTAACTTGTGTGAAAGTGAACGTATGGTGCGGGTATTGAGAAATGCCTCCAGCAGAGATCTGCAGAGACCCATTTCATAAGGACTGAGTTACATTACGTAAGCACTCGAGTCTCTAGGGAGACGCAGAACAGAGATACTGGAAGGAGCACGATGCTAAGTGGCAGTGGATTTGGAAATCCTGAATCCTGGTGTTTTTTCCAGCGTATTTTGTGTGCCCTTTGTGAGGCAGAAATACCTTCTGCTTTAGGAAACCATAGAATGTCAGAGTCAGAAAGGAATTAAGAATCCACAATAAGGGGCTAGTGCTGTGAGGTAGTGGGCTAAGCCTCCTCCTGTGGTGCCGGCATCCCATATGAGCGCCTGCTCATGTCCCGGCTGCTCCTCTTCCAATCCAGCTCTCTGCTATGGCATGGGAAAACAGTGGAAGATGGCCCAAGTCCCTGGGCCCCTGTACCACGTGGGAGACCTGGAAGAAGCTCCTGGCTTCAGACTGCCCCAGCTCCGGCTGCTGTGGCCATTTGGGGAGTACTGAACCAGGGGATGGAAGACCTCTCTGTCTCTCTCTCTGTCCATAGCTCCACCCTCAAATAAACAAAAAATCTTTTAAAAATTCATAATTCTAACCCCACCGACTTACAAATAAAGAAACTGAAATCTAGCAAGCTATGTGTCCTTTCTGGGGTCAGAGAACAAGCAGCGGCCTAGCTGAGATCAGATTTCTTCTAGTTGGCTAATTTCTGGTTCCTCCTACAGCAAATGGACAATTTCAGAGACCCCTTTACTCATAACCCAATATCCACATCCCTGAGCATCCTAGAAGTGCACTGATTATGTCCACCACAAAAGAAAATGAAGACGTCCAGGCAAGACAAGAGAATCCCAACAGATACTAGTGAGAGCTGTGATAAAGTGGAACCCCTTGGGCCCTGGGACTGGACAGCTCTGGGTTTAAGCTCAGCTCTGCCACATACACTGACCATGTTAACATTGGCTGGCTGTCACACATGGGCCACGTGACAACGGGCAGCT